AGTTTTATTCATTCACATTGATTAATATCACCAGTGATGAAATGAATGGTGTTAGAATACATACAGAATCAACCGCCGGAGGAAATGTGGCTGTTTTCGCCAAATGCAGCAACGCTTTTGGGAACTCGGTAAGATGCAAGTGGATATTCTAGCAGTAGTGAGAAGGAAAAAGTGGCAAAATAGCAAAATTACAAAAATCGCGCAGTTATGAGGCCGAGATCGCTAGCCTTTTTATGGGATATGATGATCCGGTCTATCAAAATTCTGCTGAGATATAACCCTTTGAGTTATCAATGCGAACTCGATGCTGTTCCTTTGCACTATGATCATCCCACTACGATTTGTCACATTCCTAACGTTACCAGGACACAACCGCTCGAACTATCAGAGAGTTTTCGATGCAGTTACCCCTTTAAAAAAATCCACGAATTATCGGAATCGATACAAAAAAAAAAAAAAAAGGCATGCTTACACTTTGGTACAATTTATTGTAATCAGCTGACGTATCTTCCGCGGCATCCCAATCAAAAATAAACTTTCTCTCGTGCAAACGTCGTCCACGTTTTCGTTTCTCTCGTTGTCCGCCTGCAATTCAGTAAAACTGCATATTCCTTGCAGAATAAAAATAAATGCAAAATTTCTTTTTTTATAGATTTTTTTTCAAAAAATTTCTGCGATTTAAAAAAAAAAAAAAAAGATATTGCGCTTCACATCAAACAATCTAGATCGTATTTACACAGCGTAAAGTTGAGAATCAAATGAGTGAAATTCGGGTAATCAAAACTTTGAGCCGAAGACGAGAAATTCTGTAAAGCACTCATCTTGGTCCATACACGTTTTGGCAAAACCCCAGTGCACTAAACAAAATCTACAATAGCACTAAAATTTAACAAGATGCATCGGACACATACATACATGCATACATTACATACATACACACACGGACACAAGCACACACACACACACATATCCACACACAAATGCTCGCACACACACGCACACACACACATACACACACAGAAAACCCCATGACAATATATGTTTTGTACAGCTGCTGCACAGCACAAAATGCACAAAAATGAGACTGTGAAGCGACCCGCAACTATCCGCTTGCTGTTTTATATGTACAAGATTTTCATAGGGGTAGTTTATGTGCGAGTTGGAAGAATGCTCAATGAAAACATGCAAAGGAGAGCTTCAAAAAGTGATTATCACAACCACAAAGCTATTTGAACGAAACACGGGAATATCTGCTCATACTGCAAAATTCGCAAAAACTGTAAAATCTGCAAAACTGCAACTATTAAAACATCCTCCGTATATAGCCATGCTTGCGGCTTTCTGTATTTTACCACCATATTTTTCATATCACACAACTTCTAGCTTTTTTCAGAACATGTGATTTACCGAGATAGCGTTGACGGATGGCTTCATTGAGTTTCTCCAAATCCTTTTCTGTTTCTTTACTATCACTCGTTTCACCACTGCGTTCTGTTTTCTCCGGATCTTGCCGTCTTTCACGACTGCGACTGCGTTTTTCGCGACTTCGGCTTCGCCGCTCTCGACTTCGGCTACGCTTCTCGCGACCTAGAAAAATTTATAAGGGTACAATAATGCCTACAATTTTAATGATTTTTTATGGCTGGTAAATTTCTTTTTTTTTCTTTTGACTATCAGATAGCA